ATTATAATAGTTTAATTTAGAGATTTACTTTAGTTATATAATCTTAGGTTACGTAACCTTATTACGTAACCTAGTCTAGCGCTTTTATACTTAGTACCTCTATATATAGAGTCTTTTAGAGTCTTTTCTCTACTTCTTATCTTTAGATAGCTAAATTTAATCTAACCTACTCTACTAGTACCTCTTATTCTTATAGCTTATAGAGATAGTACTATCTATAGCTAACTTATCTAGCTAGATATTTAAGAATACTTATAGTAGTAGAGACTATAAAGCTAGCTCTTATATTATCTAAAGGTTAATATCTTTTTAGCTAGAGATAGTAGTATAATATTAGGCTAAACTAAGTAGCCTTATAAGAAGCGTTTACTAATAGCTATACTAAGAATTAGAGCTATAAAAGCCTAGTTACTTACTTTAAGAATCTATTAATATATTAATTAATTACTTATCTCTAGCGCTATATAAAACTACTAGTAGATCTAGTAGATAATAGAAAAAATACTACTAGTAGTAAGCTAAAGAGAGCTATAAAAGCTCTATATATAGAAGAACTTCTATAGAACTTCTACGTATAGAAACCTCTTCTATTTTAAAAATTAATAATTCTCTACTCTACTAGTAACGTACTTTACAAGCGAGCTAGTTACACAAGCAAGCTAGTTACCTTCTCTTGGCAACGAAAATCAACGAAAATTAACTCGTTTTTCTTAAATAACTAAGCGAAACCTTGATATTTTTCTATAAAAATTTATATATATATTCTTTATAGTATATTACACCTTATAGTAAAGTTATACTAAGATATATTGCGTAATTAAAAAGCTATACGTATTTAACTAACTTTTAAAAAAAAATCTAGTATACTTCTAGTAATTACTATTATATCTCTATAATAATATATAGAACTTATAGTATATAGTATTTATAACGTAATAAAGGTTTCTAGAAAACTTCTATAGGGCTAGCTCTTCTAGGTATAGCGTAATAAGAGATAGAAGTCTAAAAATTTCTTTTTAGAGTTTTCTCTTCTAACTATATATATATTAGTTAATCTAGCTATATAAACTTGTAATTTTATAAATTATAGTATACTTAAACTATATAGAGCTTATTAACTAATAATATACTAGCTTTAAGTAGTTATTTAAAAGTAAAGCTATTTTATAGTATAGTAGAAAAAGATAGAACTATACTAAAACTATCTTAAAATTATTACTTCTAAATATCTAGAAAGCTTATAATATATATAAGCTTATAATATATAGCTTTATATAGCTAGACTATTAATATCTATATATAGTTAGAGAAGAAAACTCTAAAAAGAATTTTTTACACTTCTATCTCTTATTACGCTATACCTAGAAGAGCTAGCGCTATAGAAGTTTTCTAGAAACCTTTATTACGTTATAAAAATACTATATACTATAAGTTTTATATATTATTATAGAGATATAATAGTACTTACTAGAAGTAAACTAGATTTTTTCTTAAAAGTTACTTAAATACGTATAGCTTTTTAATTACGTAATATATCTTAGTGCAACTTTAATACAAGGTGTAATATACTATAAAGAATATATATATAAATTTTTATAGAAAAATATTAATCTTTCGCTTAGTTATTTAAGAAAAACGAGTTAATTTTCGTTAATTTTCGTTGCTAAGAGAAGATAACTAGCTTGCTTGTATAACTAGCTTGCTTATAAAGTACGTTATCTTATAAGCTATTTCTCTATTACTTAAAGATAATAATCTTACTATCTAATTATAAGAAAGAGTCTAGAAACTTAGTAGAAAGCTATATCTAGCTTTCTAAGTATTACTTAGTTACTAGTAGTATAGTAAGTATATATATAGTTAGATAAGAATCTAGAATAAAGTTATCTAGTAGTAATATACTAGTTTTACATATATATAGTATCTAATTTATAAAATATATTATATATTAAGTTAATAGAGTAGATAGTATTTAGCTTCTAGAGTAGAATTATAGTTATGCTTATAGCTATTAAATTCTTACTAAAATAGTATTTTTTTTTCTACTATAAATTCTAATACTTTATATATATAGTATTTTCTTTAGTAAGTATATTAGTAGTAATCTAGTAATATATATAAGTCTATTATTTAAGTACTTAGTATATAAATAATTAGCTAACTAATTTATTAATAATTTTATATAGCTTTTCTAGAAAAAGTTCTTAGAGCTTTTTTATAGAGATAGAAAGTATATAAAAGCTATCTATAGCTAATAATCTAGATATTACTAAGCTTTTATATAGCTATACTAGCTTCTACTTAAAGTTATTATATTATATTATAAAATAGAGAATTTATAATAGTAATATTAATTAGAATAACTAGCTAGCAGGTTCTCTATCTAGAATTTAAGAATTATTAGAGTAAAGAGGTACTATAGAACTAAAGTCTTACCTCTAGAGTTACTTTATAAGAGTTTATCTATAGTATTTAAGTAGTTTAACTCTAGTATAGTTTCTTACTTAAAAAGTAAAGATATTAGCTACTAGTAGAATAGCTAGTTATTAGCTCTACTAGTAGAGTAGAGAATTATTAGTTTTTTTAAAAAAAAGAGTTTTCTATATATAGAAGTTTTATAGAAGTTCTTTTATATATAGAGCTTTTATAGCTCTTTTTAGCTTACTACTAGAGGTATTTTTTCTACTACTAACTAGATCTACTAGTAGTCTTATATAGTACTAGAGAGATAAGTAATTAGAGCTTTTATAGCTTTAATTCTTAGAGTAAGTAACTAGGCTCTTATAGCTCTAATTCTTAGTATAGCTATTAGTAAATACTTCTTATAAGACTTCTTAGTTTAGTTTAATATTATACTACTATCTCTAGCTAAAGAGGTATAGACCTTTAGATAATATAAAAGCTAGCTTTATAGTTTCTACTATTATATATTAAGCTCTAGAATACCTTACTAGGTAAGTTAATTATAGGTAATATAGTCTCTATAACCTATAAGAATAAGAGTAATAAGTAGAGTAGGTTAGGTTAAATTTAGCTATCTAAAGGTAAGAAGTAGAAGGCTACTCTAAGAGCTCTCTATATACAGAGAGCCGAGCGCCAAGGCGCTAGGCGAGGTCATGTGACTCGGACATGGTCATGTGACTCTGGCAAATACTGAGCTGGACCGTCACAGATGGCAGAGGATGCGGGAACGGATGGAAGCAACGAAGTCGCCTGCGTTGCGGTATCGGAGTTTGGAGTTGTTCCGTCCCGGCCTACCACTAAGGCTACCTCGAGGCCTGCTCTACTTACAAAACGACCGACAACGTGTTGCGCACAGGTGCTTGCGATTTACGACTAGCACGTCCTGCTATACGCTTTCTCTTATCCCGAAGGCTTCGGCGGCGATTCCGGGTCTGAGCGTCGAGAGGCTGCGGACGCCACCGCCATCGAGGGCGAGCAGGCGGAGGCCATGCTCGGGAATGACAGGAGAGTGCGGTGGTTCAGCGAAAAAGCCTGGTTTTGTATCCTCGAATGATCGTGGGGGCCGCAGCGTTACACGCCGCGCGCGCTTTTAAGGGTCTTGAACGCCTAGTCCTAGCAAGAGACCATCGTCGCAAACGTACCGTACACGGATGTTCCACGCCGGCGTCTTCGTTGACAAGTCAGCCGACCTTCCGCCCCCGGTCCACGACAAGGGGCGACGAATACTGGGAATTGAGTCGTGAGAGGATTAAGTGGCGGCCGTTCTAGATGAGCTACAAACTGCTGCACATTTTACCGGACTGGTATCGATATTTTGGGCTAAATCGCGAAGAAATGCACGCGAGTCCTCACTCGAGGGCGATTAGAAGGCCAATCTGAACGGCCTCGCGAGGAACCTGACGGACCTTTAGTCGGGCGCGCTGAAGACGCACATGTCCGAGCAAGGTGAACTTCTTTGCCATCCTGTAGGATCTCGTGGATAACATCCTAATCTTATATGATAGTCTAGAATTCAAACGCTAAGTCGACGGGCTCGTCACTTAACGAATTGCCAAATGAAGATCATAGCGGAATGCGCACTCCTCGCTTCCCACCAGCACACAGCGCCCCCCTAACTTCAATCCAAACGATGCTGCAGCTATGGCCGCTGCCTTTGCCGGGCCTATACCATCACTGCCGCCGTATACCCAATCGATTGCGTCGACCCCTAGCATCGAGGCTGCGGATCCATATCGCATCGACTCGCGCACACTGCATTCGCACAACAGCATCAGCGACGGCTAGTTGATCACCAGGCATCTAGTTCAATACTAAGCGATCTGCATGCGGCTGGCATGGGTATACGGTTTCCGTCCTTGATCGTGGAAGCGAAGGGATTGAGTCTAAATAGGAGTCTCATTAGTGCGCAGAACCGAATTGCTGCCGAGATGTTGCAAGATATGCGCGGATTCTCAAGTTTCTCGAAAGCACCAGTCTTCACTGCTCAAAAGCCATGTGCACTTCCCTGACCAGGGATAGAATATGGGTCAAAGACGCCGGTCATGCATTCGGAAATGGTATTTAGGCCAAAGGCGTCGGCTATGTATCCGAACACAATATTTGGATTAAAGATGCTGGTAATGTATGATGATACGGTCTTTGGGTTGAAGGCACCCTATGTATTTGGACAGTTATTAATTCAAATGGTGAAAGCTCTGTTCTAGCTCCGGGCGCTGGTGGATGGGTAGCTAAGGAGTGAATCTGACACGTACTAATGGGTCCCCTGGCTACCCTTAAAAGCAAATTTCAGCCCTATCGTTAGGCTTTCAATCTGAGAAGGGTTTTGCTCGAGATCCTGCCCTCCCAGAAAGTTCTTCTTTGGCTAGCCCTTAAGTCCTTCCTTCGTCACGAAGACAAAATATATCGCAAACTCTTTTAAATTCTTAAAAGAAAGTCGTGCATTAAAAATAGCTCTGTGTTGTTTATTAGAATATATAAACTAAATAACCATTAAAAACCTACAGGCCGCCTTTCTCCATGTTAACTTTAATGAGCTCGCATTGTTTGAGGGAGCATATAGTATCTCCAACAGGCCGTTCGATACAGGGAAGCCCTTAAAACAGAGCCGTTGTAAACCGCTATAGACTAGCATGCATAATTGCGGGCTCTACAACTGAATGACAATAGCCTTTAACTCAGAGTTCATTCCCGTCATAAAGGCGTAGATATAATTTGAATCTGTTCGATATACCTCGTAAATTCCAAGGCCCGACCACGGGAAAAGGGCCTCTAGAACGCATCGCACAAGCTGAAAGAAGATTAGATAGATATTTCTGCCTGCCATATCGTTCAAGACGTTGTCCCTACAGAAGTCGAGGCCATCCACCGACTCGATTGGAAAACCCCTACTCCGTATTTCTTCGACTCGGTCTCCCATAGCGGGATCCTCAACATAGAAAACCCCATCCTCTGAGAACTTCTTCTGTATACCCTCCACCGATAACGAGGTTATCGACGCCATAAGCAAAGAGTTCTGCGTTGTGCGGATCGCGGCGGGGACGTGGGAGTCAGGCGGACTCGTGAGAGACAGGAGGCATTTTCAGGTGACAGCGGAGCGCTTGCTCGTGCCAACTGGCGCAGTCGCATGCGAATAAGAGGAATAGAGATGAATCGAACGACCAGGCCTGGCCGAGGAGAAATCGTTCCTGTCTGTGTTCCGCAACCTAAATTAGGTTGGGTTCGCAAGCGGCCTGCGGACGAACGTTGTTCCGCGATATGAAAAAATACCCTCGAGCCCGACTGCCACCCAAAACTGGTGCATTGAGTCGTCACATCCGCTACGCCGACTCTACCACCCCTTGGGCCTGCTGTTCTGCTGACTCCCAGCCAAACCTTCATCTTGAAATACGTCACCTCTCCATCGCGACATTACGTATCCTCCCTCGCCTCGCAGCTTCATCGACTCCAGCAATAATATCAAGACCAATCCAGAGCTGCGGTGTTATATCTTTGGGGTAAGCTGGCAAAGCAACCCAAATAAAGGGCTAAGACAAAATTAGTCTTCACATCTCAGTTTGTGAACTCGAACACTGGTCACGCCATCCTATACACCTACGTAACACCCCCTGGATCGGCCGCCGTCTGATCCCATCAAGCGGTACTTATGCTTGTTTCGTTTCCGACTCAAAAAAAGGCCTCTAGATAGTAGGCTAATAATCGGCCTGTACAGATGTGCCAAAACGTCTACGCCGAATTCCGCTGCGCCGATACGCACGAACAGCGCGGCGAGGATAGGACTCGCCTAAAGCATATTGCGCGTTGTGACACCGCTCTGAACAGCCCGACAGGGCAGTCCTGTCTGGATCCAAGGGATAACGTCCATATTGTTCAAGAAGACGAGCCAGACATCAACTGTCCTGAGTGTCGGGGAGAGACCCCTCCTGAGACGCCCTGATGGCTATGAATTGGTGATTGGACTCTAGAATACACACTGAGGATAAAACAATGGCTATGGCACTTTGTGCCAAGCTGCCTGGGATGGCCAGGACGGCAAACTCATGACCAAGTCTATCTTCGCCTTTTCAGTCTCTCCTATTTTGCACTATCTCTCAACGTGTACATGATAGCGTAGTTCTTCGACTTCTTGACCCATACGTCCTAGGTCGGCTAGAACGGCAAACTCAATCTTCGCCCTTCAGTTTCGCCAGCCGCTCCTGTTCTGGTCCACCCCCCCACGTGTACATGCTGGCATAGTTCTTCGCCTGCTTGGACCATATCTCCCGCGGCGTGAATGTCCTGGGCGATTCGATTAGCTAGTGGCTACAATCTGTAAGACATAAGGCTAAGACAGACCAAAATACATTATCGCCATCGCGACGACATGAGGCCAGATATACCTCGTGAGGGATCTTGGAAAGTTCCTCCCTGGTCATCCTGCCCGTAACATCTAGGTCATAGATGAACCATGCCTTGCCCTTTTGGGAGTCAAATTTGGGTAGAAGATGGATGTTGTCGTAGGCCGGCAGCTGGACCTGGGCTTTAATTGGTCTTTCCAGCATCTGCTTACAGAACTCGTTGCCGAGCTGGAACGGCCGTTCTTCTGGAGTGCCGGGAATATCGGTAACGTAGGCTTGGATGATGATACGCTTCTGTGTCTGCGACATTTTAAAGTGCGTTTGATCCAGGCTCGGGATCACTACTCGGTTAAGAACTGTAGATGGAAACTTAAATGGGGACTCGTGTTGTGAATCTGAGGCTCGGGTCTCGGCTACTGGGTTTCCCCACCTGGCGCACGTCCCCACCTGACACACGGTTAGCACGAAATTTTCTACACTTTGCAACTCGATTATTACCACTAATACTAACGCTATAGAGAACGCGCTAGAGGCGTTAAAGTTACTAAAGCTTAGAGAAAAGCCTAATTATACTTAGGTTACGAAAAAGTATAACGTACTTTACAAACAAACGCCCTACACAAACGAACGCTCTAAAAATGCTAAGCTAGAAAAATTAAAAGGTTTTTCTTAAATAACTAAGCGAAACCTTAATATTTTTCTATAAACTTTTAAACATATATAGAACTATACTATATACACCTTCTATTAAATTTGCACTATATATTTCTTATTACGTAAGCTAGAAGTAAGCCTTTTTCTAAAAGTAGCTATTCTTTAAGTTTAAATCTTAATAGTACTAGTAAACCTTAATAATAATCTATAAAACTTTAAAGATATATTATATACTATAGTATAAAGCCTTCTATAAAGTTTAGTAGCGTTTAGCTTAGTGGTACTAGAGATATTTACTTAAAGAGTCTCTAATAAGAAGTTTAGAGGTTTCTTCTAGAAATAGATAGATATTACTAAGCTAGACGCTACTAAACCTTATAAAAGGCTTTATACTATACTATATAATATATATTTAAAGTTTTATAGATTATTATAATAGTTTACTAGTTCTTATAAGGTTTAAACTCTAAGAATAGCTACTTTTAGAAAAGACTTATTTTAAGCTTACGTAATAGAAAATATATAGTGTAAATTTAATAGTTAGTGTATATAGTAAAGATTAATATATATTTAAATTTTTATAGAAATATATTAAGGTTTCGCTTAGTTATTTAAGAAAGACTTGTTAATTCTTAGGCTTAGTATTTTTAGAGCGTTTATTTATATAGAGTATTTATTTATATAGAGCGTTCGTTTATAAAGTACGTTAGCGTTAAATATATAATACTATTAAAGTATTACTAGAGAGTATAGAGTAACGTACTTTATAAGCAAGCTAGTTATATAAGTAAGCTAGTTACTTTCTCTTAGTAATAAAAATTAACAAAAATTAACTTACTTATCTTAAATAACTAAGTAAAACCTTAATATTATTCTATAAAAATGTATATATATATTTTCTATAGTATATTACACCTTATAGTAAAGTTGTACTAAGATATATTACGTAATTAAAAAGCTATACGTATTTAACTAACTTTTAAGAAAAAATCTTATTTACTTCTAGTAAGTACTATTATATCTCTATAATAATATATTAAACTTATAGTATATAGTATTTATAAGATAGTAAAGGTTTCTAGAAAACTTCTATAGCGCTAGCTCTTCTAGGTATAGCGTAATAAGAGATAGAAATTTATAAAAAGTCTTTCTAGAGTTTTCTTCTCTAACTATAAATATATATTAATAATCTAGCTATATAAAGTTATATATTATAAGACTATATATACTATAAGTCTTCTATATATTTAGAAGTAATAATTTTAAAATAGTTTTAGTATCTTTCTATCTTTCTATACTATACTACTAAAAAGACTTTACTTTTAAATAACTACTTAAAGCTACTATATTATTAGTTAATAAGCTCTATATAGTTAAAAATAAATATAATATATAAAATAATAAGTTTATAGAGCTAGATTAACTATAATTATATAGTTAGAAGAAGAAAACTCTAAAAAGAATTTTTTAAACTTCTATCTCTTATTACGCTATACCTAGAAGAGCTAGCGCTATAGAAGTTTTCTAGAAACCTTTACTACCTTATATATACTATATACTATAAGTTTTATATATTATTATAGAGATATAATAATACTTACTAGAAGTAAACTAGATTTTTTCTTAAAAGTTACCTAAATACGTATAGCTTTTTAATTACGTAGTATATCTTAGTATAACTTTACTATAAGGTGTAATATAGTATAGAAAATATATTTATAAAGTTTTATAGAAAAGATTTAAGGTTTCGCCTAGTTATTTAAGAAAAACGGGATAATTTTCGTTAATTTTCCTTGCTAAGAGAAAGATAGTTAGCTTAATAATATAGTTAGTTCGATAATAAAGTACGTTATAGTACTAAGTAGACTCTATCTTTAAATATTACCTATATTTTAAGCTTCTAGATAATAAGATTATCTAGTATAATATTAAGCTATATAATACCTATAATATAGATAAAAAGAGTGTTCTAATTAGAGTAGTAAGTAAGATTAAGTATATATTCTCTTAGTATTAATATAAGCTAGAAGAAATTAAATAGCTTATCTAGAATAGTAATAGAAAGTAGATAACTATAATAGTATATATTTATACTAATAGTAGTTATCTTATACTTTTATTTATCTATTAGACTATTTCTAGAAATATATAAGACTTATAGCTTTAAGATTTTAATTCTATAGAGTATAAAATCTTCTTTATAGTATCTCTAAGTAGATAGATAAATAATACGCTAGAGCTAGTATAGCTTTAATAGATATTTAATAAGAAAATAAAAGTAAAAGTAAAATAATTTTATTATCTACTTATTCTAGATAGCTATAGTTTATATATTAGTATAGAGTTTATAAAGTATTATAATAAAAATAGAATTCTTCTAGCTATATATCTATCTTATTTAATCTATATACTATAGTTTCTTAATATTAGCTTTTTTAAGTCTTTTTTAACTATCTACTCTACTAAGCTTACTAACGTTATATATAACTACTAGAGCTTCTTAGCTATTATAAAAAAAAACTTCTTCTATATATTCTATAGCGCCTAGTATATAGTCTTTAAGAAAGATATAATTTTTAGAGTTTTTAAAGTTACTAGAATCTTACTATTAAATATAGAGATAATTCTTAAAAGATTTAGATTAGTAGAAACTAAGAAGCTTTTATCTAGTAAAAGTAGTATATTAATACTTAGTACTTTAGATTAATAAAAAATTAAGTATTTACTTTATTAAGTAGTAGAAAATATCTATAATAAACGCTTCTAATAGCTTAGCTAGATAATTTATTCTAATATACTTTATAAGTAAATAGCCTATATAAATAAATACTCTAAAAATACTAAGCCTCTACTAAAAAGCTACTTAAGATAAATCTAGATAAGCTATTTAACTTATCTATATTATCTTTAACTATCTAGTATGTTTATATATTATACTCTAGCTTACTATAGTATCTATAGTATTACTAAGCTAGCTAGCTATTATATACTACTATCTTTTTACGCTACTTCTTACTCTTATTCTAATTTATAATCTCTCTTTAAGTAACTAGCTATAAGCTAGCTTTAATTATAAGAGTATTCTTTTTCTAAATCTACTTTCTTTTATATAAATTACGCTTCTTTTTCTATACGTTAGCTACTTAAACCTAGGTAACTTTAGACTCTATAAGTAGTAGCTAATATACTATTAGCTTATTACCTTTCTTAAGCTAATTAAGTAACTTAATAATATAAGTTAGTAATAAATTAAGGTACTATATAATCTTTAATTAAATTAGAGTTAATTAGAATACTATACCTAGAAATAGAATAGAGCTTTAAGATAACGCTTTAGAAGAAAAGACGAATATTAGAATTAAAGAATTAATAATAGAGTTAGCTAGCTAGAATAAAGAAAATAGTAGGCTAAGTTTAAAGTTATAAAATATAGAATTATATATAAAGTTATAGAAATAATTAGAGTTATGTAATAAGAATTAGATAGATTAAAGAAATCTAGGCCTAATCTATAGATTAGACTCTAATCTAAGAGATCTATAGAAGCTAGATCTTAGTACCTAATCTAGCTAAGATAGTATATATATATAAATAGAAGAAGCTTACTTCTTATAGCTTCTTATAGTTATTACTTTATCTATTAAATTACTACTATAACTTATAATTTATAGTATTATTATATCTACCTCTTTATTATAAAGATTCTAGTCTAAAGTACACCTCTTACCTTCTCTTATAAAAGTAAGCTTTAGTCTTAGTTAAGAGAATAGCTTATAATAACTAATAATATACTAGCTTTAAGTAGTTATTTAAAAGTAAAGCCTTTTTATAGTATAGTAGAAAAAGATAGAACTATACTAAAACTATCTTAAAAGTATTACTTCTAAATATCTAGAAAGCTTATAATATATAACGTAATTTATAAGTAAGCTAGTTATATAAGTAAGCTAGTTACTTTTACTAAGCCTCTACTAAAAATTCGCTATCTTAATTAGATTATTCTAACTCTAAGCTACTTAAGATAAATCTAGATAAGCTATCTAACTTATCTATATTATCTTTAACTATCTAGTACGTTTACGTATTATACTCTAGCTTACTATAGCATCTATAGCGTTACTAAGCTAGCTAGCTATTACATACTACTATCTCTTTACACTACTTCTTACTCTTATTCTAATCTATAGCCTTTCTTTAAGTAACTAGCTATAAGCTAGCTTTAATTATAAGAGTATTCTCTTTCTAAATTTACTTTCTTTTACGTAAATTACACTTCTTTTTCTATATATTATCTACTTAAAGCTAGACAACTTTAGACTCTATAAGTACTAGCTAATACGCTATTATTTTATTACTTTTCTAAAGCTAATTAAGTAACTTAAGAATATAAGTTAGTAATAAATTAAGATATAATATAATCTTTCTTTAAATTAGAGTTAATTATAACTTTAATTTAGTAGAATTACTAGATATTTTATACTT